TTATTAGACAGTGTTGTTGCTGTTGTTAAGTGCCATCGAGTCAATTCTGATCCATAGAGGCCCTGTATAGGGTTCCTAAGGAGCAGCTGGTAGGTTTGAACCACTGACCTTGTGTTTCACAGTCAAGTGCTGATCCTACAGCACCTCATCAGATATGGTTGGCTTGAATTATAAACACCATCTCTTTAACAGGTCTCGCCTTTCATGACAACTGGCTTCAGCATCCGAAGTGCCATGGACAGGCTTGTCCTGCCCCCTCCATGCTAAGGCCTGCCCCCTCCTGAGCTCCCTTATGCTCTCCCCTCCTCTGCCTGGCCCCACAGATGACTGGGCCATCTGCTGACTCTGGTTCAGGTCACTGTCTCTCCGCTGTACCCTCTGGAAATGCAGCCACTCTCTTCAGTGGCTCACACTTCACTCAAGTCCAATGATCACAACACTTACCAGTCCAGAAAGTGAGTTGTTGTTGTTTACCACAGAGTCTAGTCCCACTCAGGGAAAATTCAGGTATGCAGAGTATTAGTGTTCCACAGGGTTTTTAAGACTGACCTTTGAGAAACAGATTAGCAGGTCTGTCTTCTAAGGTGCTTCTGGGTGGGTCCCAAGTACAACCTTTAGCTAGTAGTCGAACACGTCATTGTTTTCACCACATATTAATGGATACTTTTGTGAGAAACTTCTTCTCAAGCATACTGTCCTCTTAGGGTCCAGGACCCCACTGCTTACTCAGCATTTAACCTTTCTAACTCAGCTCTGCAGCCACACCCACAGTCTGATCTATTTCCAGCAGATCAGACGGAGAGAGAATAATCATCATTTGACATTTTCTAAAGATCCTGGTGTGGTGCTATAGAATCAGCATTGGACTATAAACAACAAGGTCAGCAGTTCAAACCCACCAGCTGCTCTTTGGGAACCCTATATAGGGTCACTTGAGTTGGAACCGACTCAATGGCACCTACCAACAACAATAACAAAGATACAGAACTTCCTAATTTCTAATGCCAAGGATGTTCTAGAAAAGCAAACATGTCTTTGTTTCAATTAGCTCCTTCCCTTTAAGTAAAGTGAAATCTGAAACCACATAGAGGCCTGAGCACTGAGAGAAATGTATTAGCATAAATACTGGCTTGGCTGAGGAACTTACATTTTTCTTTTACTCACAGAACTGAAGTACTTGCTTCCCCCACCCCTTTCTGTCTGATGCATTTTCTGAACATCAGCAAAAAGTCAGAAATCTGCTCTGGTCTGCCTTTTAAATTTGGGACCCATTGGAGTATTTATCAGGGATAACTTACCTTTGACTTAAAAAAATAGCCAGGCCCCTAAAAACAGGCTGAACCTACGGTCATCTTATTTGTTAACAGAGCTGGAAGTTAACAAGATCTTATTCTAACAACTGGCAAACACAATGTGAGACAGTCTCGAAAAGAGCTTCAAAAAGTCCCATCAGTTCACCGGATTCTGGTTCCCTTGCTATCATTCCCAGTAAAAACAGGCACAATCAGGCAGACACCAGCACCATAGCAACCCCACCCCCCACCCCACCCCCCAGGCTGAAGGCTACAATGGACTAAAAAAAGTCAATTCTTGGTCGAGGTGTCTTATTTTTATATTGTGATAGAAATCCTTACATGGAATCCTTGTTTGATTTCTTTTTGGATGGAATTTAATATCTGCAGGGATCTCTGGTCTGTGCCAATTTATATAGTTACAGTCAGAGCTGTCTTAGCCCCTCAACAAATCACTGAAGCCTCGCGGAGTATTTCCCTCCGTCCCTCAGTCCCTATTACTCTTTAGCTACAAATTTCTCATCTCTGGAATCTACTTAGGCTGAGAAAGACCCACACTGTTAGGTTCCAGGACATACTGCCAAACATTATTAAGGTTAGCTTCTTAACTGAAAGGAGCGCCAAGCTGCTGCTCATTGAGAACATATGTTAAGGACCCAGCATGATGCCCAGGACCGTAGTCCACTGTCAGGACACATTTGTGTACTTCTGTATTCACCCTTTGTGTTTGTCTTGCTTTACTTCCTCCATCCCACATCAACATTGATGCTGTTGTCTCCAGGTCTTATTCATGTTTTTCCCTCCACGGGGAGCAGGCTGCCCACTTCACTTTTCCCAGAGATGGTAGACAACTTCTATGCAATCTCACAGCATCTGTGCCAACCCCGACACAGTGTCTGCCAGACTTACTTCATTGTAATATCCTATTTATTTCCTTACCTCCCCACATTTGAACAGAAGCTGTAATGAAAGGCAGGGACCATGTTTTAAATATTGCATACTGAAAAGTCAATATTTATGAAATGTGCTTCAATAAATAACCACAACATAACCTGATCAATCTCTTACAATTTTTCTTCTAAACAATGACCTCAATATTCTCTCTAAAACAGATTTTTCCCCTCTTTCAATATGAGGCAGTTTAAAAAACTTGATGGAAATTTTCCTTTTATCTTTTATTTTTCCAAGAGTGTTTTGAAGCCCCTTCATTTACATCTTTAAGGAGCTCTGGTAGCGTAGTGGTTACGAATCAGGCTGCGAACCTTAGGGTCAGCGGTTCGAAACTACCAGCCGCTCCGCGGGAGAAAGATGAGGCTTTCTACTCCCATAAAGATTTACACCCTCGGAAACCCTGTACAGGGTCGCTATGGGTCGGACCCGACTCGATGGCACTTAACAACAACAACAACAACATTTACATCTTTAACTTCTAACAGCACCAATAGCTCAAAAGAAAGAACAAGTGTTCTGATTTTACTTCAGTTATTGTATTCTCCTTAAGTAAAATGAAATTTGAAACCATACAGAGGTTCGGGTGTTGAGAAAAAAAACAAATCACTCCGATGGCTCCCCAATACCCATGTCATACAGTCCAAATTCTTTAGGATGCCAAAGAAAGACTTTTACAACAGCTCACTGTGCCTACTTGTCACTGAAGGCAAGCCAGATATCTTCTCTTTTTTATTTAAAGAAATAATAATTAGAAAAACAACAAAACTCTTTTTAGTTTTATATAGCTAAGCCTAAGCACTTAGGCTTTAGTCACATATACCTAACTTTCTTTCCTAATTACAGGAGACACCTGGTGGCTCTGTCAGTTAGGCCTCGGGCTGTTTACCACACGGTGGGCAGTTCAAACCCATCAGCTGCTCCTCAGGACAAAGCTGAGGCTTTCTGCTCCCGTAAAGATTTACAGCCTTGGAAACCCTGTGCAGGGTCACTTCACTATAAGTCGGAACTGACTCCACGGTACTTAACAACAACAAAATACCTTTAGCTTCTACCTGTATAACCTTGTCCAGGAGGGAGAAAGATGAGGCTTTCTGCTCTAGTAAAGATACACACGCTCAGAAACCCTATACAGGGTGGCTATGAGTTGGAACCAATTGCACGGCACATAACCACCAACAACAACCTTGTCCATGTTGTGTAGTTCAAATTCTACTCATTTTGCCTCACCCAGATCAAATGACATTTCCCACACATTTGTCACTCCCTCCCCTCTGATCCCTAATCTGTTTCTGTAAAGATGACCTCTTTGGAAACCCTATGGGGGAAGTTCTTTGTCATACAGGGTCACTATCAGTTGGAAACAGCAGCATGTTTGGCTTTTTGTTTGTGTGTTTTTACCTCTCTGATCCCAGAGCACTTTGCTCCAGTCTCTAGTGATGCACACACCATACTATACATCGAGCTTTGGATGGTGTTGTCTCCCCAACAAGACATGAAGCCCCAATGGGCAACCAGTACATCACATTTATTTTTCAACTCAGTGCTTCATACAGTGACGGGCTCCTAGAAGATGCCTAACAAATATTTGTTCAATGAAAAAATGGACTGTTGTGCCAAAGACATTAAAAAACATTTATCACAGTGTAGTAATAAAAAAGATATATTTGGTGTCCTCTTTCTTAAGAGAAAGCACTGATGTAACTGGAAAAAGCAGAGAGAGTTCCAAGAATAGTTCAGAAATGGTTCCAAAATTCTAGTCCGTCTCCAAGCCATGGCTGAGTCTAAGCTATAAAAATGCAAGTGAGAGAAAGGCCATCATCAACATATTTAGGATTTACCTCTATCTGTAGGTTCTCACCTAAAAGTAGTGAGAGAAATGGAAAATAATATCACAAAAGGACGCAGTACATGACATCACCTCCATGAATGTGCCTGAAAACCATCTCAACAATTATCATATATTTCCTACTCAGTACTGCTGAAGAGTAGAAAATACATAAAAATATCACTCTCAAGTTTTCAGTGAACCTATGGCTATTGAAGGGCACCTATTTTTATCAACACTGCTAGTCACAATGTTGGTGGTTCAAACCCACCAGCCACTCCTTGGAAACCCTATGCAGGGTTGCTATAAGTCAGATGGAGTCAATGGCACTTAACAGCAGACTGCCTTCAAAGGAGCCCTGGTGACCGAGTGGGTTACCTGTCAGGTTGCTAAATACAAGGTCAGTGCTTCAAACCTCCCAGCTGTTCTGCGGGAGAAAGATGAGGCTGTCTGCACCCATCAAGATTTACAGTCTCTGAAACCCAACGGAGCCGATCTATTGTGTCCTAGAGTGTCACGAGAAATTGGAATGGACTCAGTGTCAGCGAATTGGAATGGACTCAGTGATGAGGTCCTTCCGTTTTGTGATCTAGGCTTCTTTCAAACGTCAATTCTGAGAAATCTTGCTAGACTCTTCAACTTTAACCCCTCCATTCCATACAGACAATCACTCCTCCATCTTCCCACAGTACTTTGTGTGGTATATAACATTTTCCCTGACTCATGGAGAGGAATGTACACCCCTCTTACTAGACTGTGAATCTTCCATGGCAGGACACCCTTTTCTCCATCTCTGTAACACCAGCATCAAGCGCATAGGATTATGAAACATGAGATGCTTAGTCAGTTTCTCCTTAATTTTGTCAAAACCTTAAATATCCGTTGACTGTACCCATCAAAATAAACCAACGGTGATTATAAAAATGCTTTACCTCTTTAAGAACCAGTACACATTTGCCTGGTCCCACCGATTGAGGTAGCTCTGCAATTCTTCCTTTGTTTAGGTAAGGGCCTGAGAAACACCTGTGGTTGATGAAAAGCTGAGGACAGCAGTATTTCCCGTTGATAGGACCTGTAGGGGAAGACAAACACAGCTGATGCTTTAAGATTATAACTCCTAGACATTAGGGAACCAACAAAAAACTTGGTTAAATTACTTTATTGACAAAACTAGCTAAAGGAGCTGTCAGACATCTTGACTGACAGAAAAATCCAAAAGATAAGAAAGAAATGGACTCAAAAGGATGACTGAAACTGTGAGGTCCATTGTACTTAGAATTCTAAAGGCACTCTTTGGTTTCGAATTGTGATGGAGCATTATGTAGAGGAAAAACAGGTGAGCTGCTTCTCATGAGAAAACATGTATTATGTTCTAACACTGATGAAATATCCAAAATAATAACTTAGACATTCTGATTTTTTTTTTCAGTATATAGACATACCTATTTATTATGTGTCGCTGTGGGTTAATGCGTTGGGTTGCAAAGTCAATTTGAATTGCAAGTTCAGCGGTTCAAACTCACCAGCCACTCCTCATAAACACTATACAAGGCTGCTATGAGTTGGAACCAACTCGATGGCACTTAGCAATAACAGTTATAATGCAGTATTCAAGACACACAAAAAGATACAAAGACTAAGACAATGACAACTCAGGTATCACTTTACAGCTCGAGAAAGAAAACACTGGCAACAAAGGGAAGTCCTCCTGTGTGTTCTGTTCCCACTTGCCTTCCCAGAGGCCACCGCTACTCTGGGCTTAGTGTCTGTCATTCCACTGAGGCCTATATAGTTTTACCACATACTCATGTATGCAGCATCCATAAGAAATATTATTTTGAGTACACAAAAACTGTTATATAAATGATGCTTCTGTACATTTTTGTTTGCTCAACCTCTTTCTGAGCTATAGCCATGTTGGAAAATATGTTTCTAAACTGTTCTTCACTTTGGTATATTATGCCATTGTATGAATACACCACAGTCTAGTTGCCCACTCTCCTACTGATGGGAATTTAGTTGTTTTCACTTTTTTTTCCTATTATGAACAGCTCCTTCAATGCATGTCACTGTAAATGCCTGTTTCTGTATATGGATGAGATAGTCCTGTAGCTATAGAAGCTAGGACGGAACTTCTCGGCCATAGGATGTACATAACCTCAGCTTTACTAAACATGACTAAGCTGTCCTCCACAGTGATGGCATCAATTTATTCCCCATCAGCATTGTGCAAAAGGTCCCATTCCCCCCACCTTGCCAACGCTAGCACAGTTAGACTTCATTATGCCAATCTGATGGATGTGAAATGCACCTCATCATGGCCTAAATGGGCATCCGCTTTCCTGGTTATTCTTTCAACTTGGACAGTGAACACAGCAAGTTGTTGGTCTTGCTGTGTCTCAAGACACCTTGAGGAAAAAGTAGAATAATTAAGCAATTAGGGCTTACTCTAAAGCTTCTTGATGTCCAGAAATGGTGAATGAGCATCCCATTTGACTAAAGGACTCATCTAATCCCCTTGCTCTAAGCTAAGCTATACAAAAAGCGGTGTTTTCTAAACACATCCTGCTGTTAATTTAGAATGGTCATTTAAGTCTAAGAACACGTGTTCTCATATGCATTTCAATTAAGAATCAATAGGTAAGAGATAGAAATGTTATTTATTTGGTCATAAGAGAAAGGGAGCAAGGTAACAATCGTTGTTGTTAGGAGCCAGTAAGCCATTTCTGACTCGTAAGTGACCCTCCGTACAATAGAGGGAAACACTGCTCAGAGTCCTGAGTCATCCTCACAACCGTGGTTCTGTTTACACCCAGGGTTGCAGCCACTGTGATATTTCATCTCATTGAGAGTCTTTCCTCTTTTCCGCTAACCTTTCCTTTGCTGTTGTTAAGTGACGTTGAGTCAGTTCCAATTCATAGCAGCCCTGCACAAAGGTTCCAAGGAATGGGTGAAAGGTTTGAACCAATGACCTTGTGGTTAGCGATCTGGTGCTTATCCCACAGCACAGTACCAGGACCCTCTGCTTTACCAACCATAATATCTTTCTTCGGGGAGTAGTCCCTCCTGATAACATGTCCAAATCATGTGACATCAAATCCCACCATCTTCCCTCCTAAATAGAATTCTGGCTGTATTTTTCCAAGACAGATTTGTTTGTTCTTCTTGCAGTCCATGGTATATTCAATACTCTTCCTCAACACCTAATTCAATCCATAGGTTCTTCTCTAGTCTTCCTTATTCATTGTCCACCTTTCATATGCATATGATGTGTGTGAAAAAACTATGGCTTGGGACAGAACCAACCTTAATCCTGAGAGTGACCGCTTTGCTTTTTAATACTTTCTTGTTGCTAAGTGCTGTCGAGTCAATTCCAACTCATAGTAACCCTGTATAGGGTTTCCAAGGAGCAGCTGGTAGGTTTGAACCACTGACCCTGTGGTCCACAGTCCAGTGCTTACACTACAGAGCCACAAGAGGTCTTTTTGCAGCAGATTGGTCTGATACTGATTTCTTGACTGCTGCTTACATTAGTGTTTATTTTGGATTCAAGTAAAATGAAATCCTTGACAACTTTAACTTTTTCTCCATTTACCATGAGGTGCATGTTGGATTTCTGTTTTGTAATCCATACTGAAGCCTGTAGTCTTTGATCTTCATCAGTAAATGCTTCAGTTATAGACCCTAAAAGAATAGCTGACAAGGTTCTTTTTAAACCATTCTGAAGTTTGAATTCTATACACAGGCAAAAAAAAAAAAAAGTCCCCAGCTGTTTTTTTACATGAATACTGTTTGGTAGGATTACCTGGAATAAGCCTTTAGGTAAAAAAAAAAAATTGGTCTGCATTTTTTCTACATATTAATAAGCCTATGCAGAAGAATTGATGCATTTGAGTTATGGTGTTGGAGAAGAATATTAAAAGTTCCATGGAGTGCCAGAAGAACAAATCTGTGATGGAAGAAGTACAGCCAGTATGTTCCTGGGAAGTCAGAATGGCCAGAATTCGTCTCTCATACTTTGGACACATTGTCAGAAGGGACCAGTGCCTGGAGAAGGACATCATGCTAGGTAAAGAGGAAGGTCAGCAAAAAATAGAGAAGCCCCCAATGAGAAGGACTGGCACAGTGGCAATAGCAGTGGGCGCAAGCTTAACAGCAATTGTGAAGATGGCACAGGACTAGGCAGTGTTTTGTTCTGTTGCGCATACGGTTGCTGTGAGTCAGAACTGACTCAACAGTACCTAACAACAACAAGTCTCCTCATAAAGTTGTTCTCTCTACAAAGATAACTTCAACTAATAAGATTCCTCCAATGATTCTTAAGTTTCAATTCTGGAATTCCAAGCAGGTTTGAGTTGGGCTAAACAGTAGATACTATTCACCAAAAAAACACATGCATGTCACTGTAAGTCAGAAATGACAGATGGCACACAACAACAACAATCACAACAATGAGCTGAGAAAGACAGAACTAAATGAACTAACTTACCTGTAGTGTCCGGGTGAGGGAATGAACAAAGGTCTTGAGGTATTTTCTCAACAGGCACTGTGGACGGCAATCTGTTGATAAATACAATAAAACTTGGTCATGGGTCACAGATTTTGTAGCAAACTCTTAAAATTTCAAAATCTTTTCAGAGCTTAAAGCGGTCCCTAGAGAAATCCAGGAGCACATGGCTCTGTAGGATAAGCATGGGACTGCAAACCACAAGGTCAGCGGCTGGAGTCCACCAGCTGCTCCTCAGGAGAAAAAATAAAGCGTTCTGCTCCCCCAAAATATTTACAGTCTCAGAAACTATGAATCAGAACCGACGCAATGGTACTTAACAACAACTAGAAAAATCCAAGACCATACTAATAGAAACTGTGCATCTAGGAGCAATACCAATAAGAAGAAATCAAAAAGATCATTTCAGAAAACGTGTTCTATAATTGTTTTGATGACCTTAAGGAATTTATGGGAACATCTGGCCTCAATCAGATGGGGGAGGTTTTTCTAAGTCATTACTGAGTCTGTATCTTGCTATAGAATTATAATAACGTCTTTAATTAGAAATGAAGAAAGATGAACGTGTGTTCCTAAAAGACAACCCTCTCGTCTTCGGTGTCTGACTGAAAACCACTTTCTACTGAACTTTATACCTAGTATTCCCATTCTGTGTAATCTCTGGGTGGCACAAACGCTTAAGAGTTCAGTCACTAGTTACTAATTGAAAGGTTGGTCATTTAAAAGCCCTGGCTATCTCCTTTCAAAAGATCACAGCCACTGAAAACTCTAAGGAGCACAGTCCCACTCTGATACACGTGGGGTTGCCATGAGTCAGAACGGAACCGACAGCAATTGGTTTGTTTTGGTTTTATTTAAATTTTTGGCGCTTTGTGTGCATTATGGCCACACTATAAAGAATGTCTTAAAAGAAGGCCTACAAACTGTTGATTCTTAAAAAGTAACTAGTCTTATTTCTAGGAAAAAGTACTCCATCAAAGCTCAATAATAAAACATATTATGTTTTAATGTAGACTTGGAAGAAAAAGAGAAGAGATGGGCTCCACCGAAGTATTCAAGTTGGCTGCATAAAAGATAATGGAGTTGGAAATCAAGTAAACTCATAGTAAACCATGACAAGATACTCTAGTGGGGTCATCTGTGTCAGTGGTCTGCAAAGTGTGGTCTCCAAACAAATAGTATCAGCATCTCCTAGGAACTTGTTAGAAATGTGAATTCTCAGGCCACACCCCAGTTCTACTGAACCAGAAGTTGTAAGAATGGGCCCAGGAATTTGTGTTTTAATAAGTCTATCAGTTGACTGATGCACATATAATCTTAGAACCACCACTCATCTGTAAACTGCATATGTCACTAGGAGTTAAATTTTCAAATTTGGATTCAATGATGGATCTATCATCTAATATTTTGCTTCATATTATCCAGATATAAAGAGAATCAAGTTATTAATCTGATGTATTGTTTAGAAATATGTATGTACAAAAAAATACCCACAAAACGTCTGTTCTCATTAAAATAAAATGCAGTAACTATTCAATGACATTTTATTTAAATCTAAAATTTGGTAGAAAGAAAAGTACTGCTTTTAATTCCTTGTCGACTCACATATTATTAGACACTTAAGAAAATAGAACCACTTAGCATGGGATGTCGGTTTCAATGTATTTTAAGTGTTTTCAATATATGAAAATATTACAAATTGCTACAACTTTTCCAAAACATATTGCCTGAATGTGGACATTCTATCCTAGCACACTCTTTCTCATAAAATTATAATCTAAATGCAAGGTAGCTTATAATCATTTAACAATTTAGGGGCGATTTTGTTGTAAAGAAGCTAATCTTCATAAAAACTGTGAAACAGGTATTTTACTGGTGAGAGTACAGTGATAAACAGTATTTAAGCAACTTGCTAACGTTCCTCCAGCTGCAAAGCAGTAGAGTTGGGACTCAGTTCTCCCTCCCAGGTCTGGCCACAGGGGATGGTAAAATGTAGCATGCAAAAAAAGGGTGACATATCACACTGTCCTGTGTGTGATTCCAAGTGCATCAGAATCACATGCACAGCCACTACTTTCAATGTATCAGTTTGGGATAGACATCAGATTTGTACCGAGGAGGGGAAAAAGGGTGACAAATTACTAGCTGGAGCGTAAGTTCCTTGGAAGCCTTGCACTTAATAAATAACAGCTATATTTTACAGTCATCTTTACGAGTGTGCTATTCATTAACTAGGTCTCTAAAAATGTTCACAGGCCATCCTCTGTGAAGACATTCAATAGTGTTTATGCAGTTTTTGTGAAGGAAAGGAAAACAAAACAACTTACTGTTTTTCTGGTTGCACGACCGCGATCTTTCTCTTCTTTTGTGCTGTGAAACAGACAATGAGGGGAGAAAGAAAAACAGCTTTGTTAGCTAGTTGGACAAATGCACTTATGAAAATGTGCAAAACTATATATATGTGTTTGTTTTAAAGTAATTTAAGTACTGAGAAGTGATTTCGCTCATGCAAAAATTTTATATTAATTTCTCCAAGTCTAGAAATGCTAACATGAAATAGATATTACTTCGTCAGAAATGATTCTAAATAGAACTTAGAACATTTAATCTGTTATTATACTGCCTACTTCATTTTAAAGTGTGCTTTTAATAAAAAGGAAAAAGACACAAATATTGTACTTTGCATAAACACACATAGTAAGATAGACTGTAGTAAATACAATTATCCAGCATGATCTTTTCCTCAGATATTTAAGTCAAATAGTATTACCATGATATTCCAAAAGTAATATTAGAGGCAGGTTTTTTAAAAATAAAAGCATTTTCTTATGCAAAGGAGGACTGATGTCTGACAATGTATATCTGTCCAATACTGATATAAACCAGCAAATGATAATTTTTATAAGAAAATTTTACTTATAAGATTAGGATCATCGTCACAAAAATAGAACAGAGATTTTGGCATCTGTTAATTTGGGCAAAGATAATCTTCCACCTTCCAACATAAGCATAAATGAATTCCATCAAAATTTCTGAAGCAGCTAGGGAATTTGATGAGTAGTAAGCGCCCCAAGATAAGCACAGGACTGCGAACCATAAAGTCAGCATTTCGAGCCCACCAGCTGCTCCTAGGGAGAAAGATGAGGCTTTCTGCTCCTATAAAGATTTTAAAAACCTTAGAAACCCTATACAGGGTCACTATGAGTTGGAACCCACTTGATAACAACAACAAGCCACTTTAAGCAAAATGTTTGCACACAAAATGAAAACAAGAAAAAGTAAGATAAGCAGTGAATAAAAATGTCATTTGCTCTTGACTTCAGTATTCTGTTCCAATGATCTCTACAAAGAAGTTATAAACATTTTGATCTCTAAAGCTAAAAGCAAGTGTAGCAAGACCCATCTAAAGCAGTCTTTGTTATTGAGACAGGGATGCCTGAACTGCATGATAACCTGTTAGGAGTGAAACACAACAGACCCAGATAGATGCAAAATCAGTATCAATGAGGAAATACTAAGTTCACCTTAAGATACATAAGATCATGTGAAAAAGGGAGAGGACACAGGACACTAAACTGTGTCTGAGGGGCAAAGACACAGGGGCTTGACCCCTAATGTGTGGCAGAATTCACAGAGGACCTCATGGGTGGCTGTGCTGGCTGAGCAAAGTAAGATTTTGTATTACTTTAAATGAAAACCTTTTTTTTTTTTTTTTTTAAAGCCACTAAGAATTATTCTAAGGTCAAAATTTTATAAATATTTTCAAGCTAGGGGAAGATGTTACTCTAATGGGATCAGACTCAATGAGCAGTGTGGTATGATAGTATCTTAAAATATGTCTCTATAATTTACTTCGTTTCCTATAGACAACCGCCTATAGGACTCTTAAAGGAAGACTCCAAAGTACCCTTCAAAATGTAAATACACAAGAGAATGTGAAATCAACTGTAAGATGGATAACTTCCATTTTAGTACTGTTAAGGGAATTTACAATTCCCTTTTTGTTTTTTTACAGCACCATATTGTTGTTGTTGTTAAGTGCTGTTGAGTCGATTCCGACCCACAGCGACCCTATATAGGTTTTCTGAGTTGCAACTGGTAGCTTAGACAGCTGACCTTGCAGTTCAAACGGTTTTGCAGTCTGGTGCATTAACCCCTAGCGTCGTCACACCAGGGCTCCCTTATTGTACGAAACCAGAAAAAAAGTAAAGCTTGTATAATAAGGGGGGCATCAAAAAGTTTGTGTAAAAATTCCATTATCTTTTTAAATAAAACAAACATAAAACTTGGCTATTCTTTCTTTACAAAACTGACTTCTTATCCAGCAAGATCTAAGCTGTAATCCCCACTCCGCCCAACTAGGCAGTACTTACAAACTGTTTTGTGTGGTGTAGTCAAGGGATAAGAATTTGCTTCACACCAGCCAACAGGGAAGATATCCATAGATTCAACATCAACAATGAACTCTGGAACAGGAGTCTGCAAACCTGCATTGGGAAAAGTTAAGACAAATAGGTACACCAAAAAAGAAACAGAATAGATAATAATAAAGAATGGTAAGGTACCTGTCTCTCTGAATGTTAAAAGCAAACAAAAAAAAAAAAAAAGACAAAAGTAGTATGGAGCATAGAAGATGTTATGCACATTTTAAGGGAGTCTATAAACTGAGTCGATGGCACTTAACAACAACAGTCTTATGGCATGTTCCCTGAGTGTTGTAAATGGTTTGTAGTTAGCTACTAACCAAAAGGTTGGCAGTTCAAATCCACCCAGCAGGCTCCATGGAAGAAGGGCCTAGTGATGTACATTTTCTAAGACCACAATCATTGAAAATCCTATGAAACAAATTTCTCTGACACACATGGGGTCACCACGAATAGAGATCAACTCAGTGGCAATGGGTTTGGACTTGTAAGTGTCTGTCGATCTGGAATCCTAGTGTGGCACTGGAGGATAAGCACTGGACTGCTAACCACAGGCTGGCAGTTTGAGCATACCAGCTACTCCTCAAAAACCCTGCATAGGGTCACTATGAGTTGGAACCAACTTGATGGAACTTAACAATAGCAACAACATCTGTGTATCTGGGAGTGTAATGTTTCCACAGAATAAGCGCTGGACTGTGAACCACAAGGTCAGCACTTTGAGCCTATCAGTCACTTTGCAGGAGAAAGAGGAGACCTTCTACTCCTACAAAGATTTACAAAGCCTAGCAAACTCTACACAGGTTCACTGTGAGTTGGAACCGACTCCATGGCACTTAACAGCAATGACAACACCTGTCTGTTTTATGATGGCTAGAAATATAAAACAGCAACATTTCCATGGGGTAAAAATGAACTGAAGATTTGGAAAATAAAGATATAATTCCAACTGAAAAAGGAAGGAGAGAGCAATCTATAAAAAATTGGCATCTGAGTCAGGTACACTAGAAGAGAATACAACTCTCTTCTTTTCGTAAGAACAGATTTCAAACTAAGGGAAAGTGGCAGAGCTTGAGATGGGGACCACAGAGTACATGCTGACCCCCACTATGATGTATTATACCCAACATCAAGCAGAGGTCAACACTCAACTGAAGTTAATTAAACACCATAGCAAAATGAACTAGCAATCCTCTCTAACACCAATCCCGAGTAATGAACAGGTATCTTATCTGTTTGAAGTTACTTATTTTGAACTCAGTTTGTGATCTACAGACTTTTCCCATGTCACACTAAAGACCTTTGTGTCTTTTTAGTGGGAATCTATCTTTCACATCCTATTTCATAATCACAGTAATGACTTGATATAAATCAGTGTCACCATTGAGGAAACCAGAAAAAGATGAAATCTTAACAAAAGATTGAACAAGCTCTAATTACTGAGAGAATAAATAGAAGAGTCAATATGGAGGAAAGACACTCTTGAGCCAACCAAGGCTCAGGGACTCTGACCACTTAATTTTATTGTTCTTTGGTTTCACCATTGGAAATCAAGATTTAAATAACATAATAGGGCACCAATCATTGCATGTACAGATTACTACACAACATCTGATGAACTGTGAATTATTTTCCCCCAAAACCATAACTACATGAAGCTGCATAACACCAGTCAAGTACCTAATTGCCCTATCCCTGAAGTTTGTTCCATTGGCACACTGTCCCTATATCTTACCACAGAGGAGATATTGTGAAAACAGAGCAAGGTATTTGGTAAATGCAGATTTCTAATTCGGTGCAAAACATATATATAGCTGCTCTGGTAGCATGGTGGTTATGAATCGGAACCAACTCCATGACACATGTGGTTGTTGTTGTTAAGTGCCATCGAGTCGGTTCCGACCCATAGCGACCCTGTACAGGGTTTCCGAGGGTGTAAATCTTTACAGGAATAGAAAGCCTCATCTTTCTCCCGCGGAGCGGCTGGTAGTTTCGAACCGCTGACCTTAAGGTTCGCAGCCCGATTCGTAACCACTATGCTACCATGACACATAACCACCACTATATATATATATATTACTCTGAACATTTTGACACCAGATTCCTATACACATATATTATCATCAACTTTGCATTCTTGGAAATTTGATTGGCTCTTAAAGAAAGCAATAATTATGATTAACAAAAATCTTTATTTTCTTTATGCTTTGTTGTTGTTGTTCAGTGCCATCAATATTCCAACCCATAGTGCCCTATATAGTTTCCAAGGTGCAGCTGGTGATCTTGAACCACAGACCTTGCAGTTCAAACTGACTTTGCAGTATGATGCATGAGCACACAGCGCCACACCAAGACTCCTTCTTTATGCTTTATTCTCATAGAATTTGAAGGATATAGAAGCTAAAGAAATATAAACAGGTTTATAGAAGACTACCCAACCAAGTGTAATGATTAGAAATCATTTGTTTAGTACTATAGAACTCAACTAATGTTTCCTAATTGCCAAAGATCCATCAAATAAGCAAGAAAAAATATATGCAAAATAAACAGAAGGTAAATAAACTCTCTAAACAGCTTTACAAGTTGAAATAATTCTTCCTGTCTTGGAGGGCACATGATTTTCTAGAGAACCCGAGGAAGGGGATCATTTAAGCTGTTGTCTCTCTCCTTTGTACAGGTCATTTTCTTGCCTGGAGACTCACAAAAATACGGATTCTTTCCTAGCTACATGATGATTTTACTAACAGGTTAAATTCAACTACAGACACATTTGTATTTCCAGATTTATGTTTATGTACAAATAACAATTCCAATGTCCTCAAAAGTGGTAAATACACAGTGAACTTGGTAACTTATTTAAGATTGAGGGTATTTCAAAAGTTCATGGAAAATTTCCATTATCTTTTATTTTAATTTTCCCACAAACCTTTTGAATCCTCCTTATATGACTTTAGGAGTGTTGGTGGCACTATACGACAAGCACTGGGCTGCTAATCATAAGGTTGGCAGTTGAAACCCACCAGCCACTCTATGAGAGACTGATGAGATTTTTTTGCTCCTGTAAAAATTTACAGCCTCAGAAACCATATACAAGGTTGCTAGGGAGTCCTGATGTGGCGCTATAGGATAAGTACTGGATTTCTAACCACAAAGTTGGTGGTTCAAATCCACTAGTCACTCCTCGGAAACTCTATACAGGGTTGCTATGAATGAGAACAGACCCGATAGCACTTAGCAACAACAAGAAGTATTCTACACTAACTCGATGACACCTAACAACAACACCACATTCTTCTCTAACTCTATTCTCAATACTGAGTACCAATTCTTTATTTCCCGTTATCAGCCTTATGAATCTAGTGTACTGTTGTGTGTTGTTAAATCAATTCCAACTTACAGAGAACTCCCCTATAAAGTTTACAATGCTATCATCCTTATGGAAGCAGAATGCCACATCTTTCTCCCAAGAAACAGCTGGTGGGTTTGAACTGCCAACCTTTCCATATGCTTCCAAGTACCTGCCAGGTCTCCTTGAAAAATCTAGATAAGAATAATCCATTTTATCTTTTTTTGGATCAGAGAAAAATCTTTGAAAACATAACTAATTATTTTCCAAGGTTAAAGATCCAATAGCTGGGTCTCTGAAATAATCCATTAAAAATGGAATACAAACTCCTTGGTTATTCTAGGGCTGCTAACCGTATAATTAAAAGTTGGATGTTGCAGGGCTATTGTGGAGGGCTATTGAGACAGTCTTTATCATTTTATAGAGAAATCTCCTGTGAACAAGACAAAACCATTCTAATTCTCAGATCCTAAGCAGTATAAGTAGTCCTGGTGTGGCGCTGTGGGTTAATGTGCCAGACTGCAAAGCCATTTGAACTGCAAGGTCGGTGGTTCAAGATCACCAGCTGCTCCTCGGAAATCCTATACAGGGTTGCTATGGGTTGGAGCCGACTCAATGGCACTTAACAACAACAAAACCAAGCAGCATAATATTAATATGGGGTGCACTTACTCATTCTTATCATCTGCAAAATGAAACCCATGAAACCCAAATCTGCATCTAAAGGAGCATGCACAAATAAATTATGGTGCATCCACCATATGATAGACAGTGGTTATGAACCGGGCTGCGAACCTTAAGGTCAGCAGTTCGAAACTACCAGCCGCTTTGCAAGAGAAAGATGAGGATTTCTGCTCCTGTAAAGATTTACAGCCTCAGAAACCCTGTACAGGGTCGCTATGGGTCAGAACCAACTCGTGGCACAGAATAACAACAACAACAATATGATGGAATAATCTGCAACTATTGTAGGAGCATCGTGGGACTGTAGGATAAACACTGGACTTCCAGCGACAAGGTCTGCAGTTTGAATCCACCAGTCACTCCCACAAAGATTTACAACCTCAGAAACCCTATGCAGGGTTGCTACTAGTCGGAACCAAATTTGACAGCACATAACAACAACAAATTGTATAAGAACCTCTTTATATACTTATATGTAAAGATCTCCAAGATGCATTGTTGAGTGAAAATAAAAAGAAAGTATGCAGAACACTGTGCATATATAGTGTACTACCATTCTTCATAAAAAGGAAAAATAAAATATATTCATATGTGCATAAAACAAATCTTCCAGAAAATGCAAATACAAACTACTAGTGGGTGTCTGTGGAGACAAGAATTGAGTAGTTCTGGTCTGAGAGTGGGAAGCAGAAGTGAGAGAATCTAACTAAATATACTTTTATGTTTTTGTTTATTTTGTTTTGTTTGACTCTTATAGATGAATTACCTGTTTTACTGCCACCACAGTTAACAACAGCACAGTGAAAGATACTCATTAAAGAAACAGTCTCTCATATAAATACTGTATTGCCATGGTGGTTAGATTAACAAAGCACAAGTTACCTTAAAAGATCAACAAAAACAACAACAACGAAAAATAAAACTAAAGTAAATCATGTCACTGAAAAGAGAAGAAATAATTTCTGTATTCACAAAGTAAATTTAAAAGTATACACATTTGCAAAATTCACTCTGGAACCTTAAAATAGGTCTG